GTATTTTACTTTTCATTTTATTACAAGTAGGCCTACAGCGCCCCCTCAATAAATAAAAATGCCTTATCGAACGGGCATTAGGATACGGGGGTGGCTGCTGCTGCTACTGTACGCTACTGTATGCCTAGTAAGACCTTAATGAGCTGGTTCAGGTGTGTTTAAGTAGGGTTGAAGCTAAACTCTGCAGGACACCAGCCCTCTAGGACTGAGATTGGAGACCCTGGTTTACTCTGCCGTACACCGGACGTGTCATTCTGCACTTGCATTCTCAAATTATATGTGGCGATCCAAAACTGAATAATCACCATTCAGGGAAAAGTTCCCTTAAAGAATGACCAAACTGCTGACGTAATCTTATCGCTAACACACCCCTGAGCACATGTGAGCTATTCCTCTTATCGGCAAGGCATATCGGCACAATTTTTTCAAATCGATTTCAATAATGGTCCAATAATATCGTGCATCCCTAATTTTTAAACAAATATGCAGCCTTGGTGAGCCTAAGAGACTTCAAAGACATTTTAAAAATCATGCTGACCCCAAACTGTTTAACAGTATTGTATGTAGAGTTTATTTAATGTAGATATATGTATCATTAAATAAATAGTTACTTTTCCCCTAATTATAAAACATAATAGCATACAGGTTTGGAACAATTTTGGGCAAACTATTTCTGTAACCCATATTTGTCGCATTTTAACAATTATTTAAATGCTGGTAAATGGTCAGTTTCCACAATTCCAGGGCAGATCACTTCCTTCAGATTAAGAGTTTGGCATCGAGAGTTTAAGATCAGCACGGAAGTGGAGCAAGTCACTATTCCTCAGTGAAAACACACCATTCTAATTCTTTTTCCATTTCTCACATCAGCAAGTTTCCATTGCTCAGGTGGAGCTGTGGGAGCTAAGATATCTTAACAGATAACAGGAAATAATCCTCGGGAGGTTTTCCATGCCTGGGAACAACAATAAAGGTTATACTGGTTCACATGTCTCATTCTTAATAAAATGGTTCTCTCTGACACTAGCTAAAACTTAAATAGTGTTTACTTTTACTCAACATTGTAAACTTCCTGAACTGAAAGGCCCCGTTAGAACCTGAGCCAGCATAATCATACCCATCGACTATATTTTAAAAATATGTAGTTTTTCACATCCCAACTTTTGTTTCTAAAATCAAAGTCTACATAGATGATAAGCTTCAAACTGATGCACTAGCAGAATAATGCACATGCGGTAAGTGCTGGGATGTTTTTGTACACAGCGCCATCTAGGTGTCATTGCTGGGAAATGATGTTCTATAAAAAAATCTTTTGACATT